AATGTGACCATCGTAATTTTCGTGTCATTTAACCTCTAAAAAGTCTATTCGCACGGCTGTATCTCTTGCATGCAACAGGCCCATTCTGGAAAAAAATAAAACAAAGAGGCTTCACCCAACACAATGGCCAGGTGTCATTTAGAGGGTGTCTTATTTTCGTTTTCTTTTGTTTTGTTTACCAGCTTTTCACTATATTTGTACTGAAACAAAAATGAAGTGAATTTTAAATTTGAAAATTGCCTTTCATAATTTTCTCTAGAAAAATGTTAGTGAGGCAATGAACGATGTCTTCAATTTTTCCGTACATTTTTTTTTATTTTTTAATGATAATTGTTCGGGAATCATCTTCACACATGCATAAAATCAGCTTCGGGTAAATATCGATTGATCCATGCACGGTTGATTCGCAAGGTGACTACAGCATTACACCCAAATGTAAGGTCAGTATTTAACCATATCAAAAGAGTATTTTTAATTCGGGGATTGTTTTACCTGGTTATAATAAAGATCAATGTATCGGGTAATGTATTATTAGTGCATAAGACTGAACACCCTATAATGGCTTTCAAAATGTTGCCTCCCACGAGAGCGCAATCGCCGTCGCTTAAAAGATATAGAAAACAGTAGCGTGGCGTGATTCGCGATGTATCGATTGTTATGCCATTTAAACCTATAGTAAAGAATCGATTATTAAGGTGTTCGCTGCGAACACCCTGTTTATTGATCTTTTTCCATATGTTTAAATGGCATAACAATCGATATATCGCAAAGCACGCGCCACGCCACTGATAGAAAACCGTGCACCTACTTTAGACGTAAACGTTACTCTGAGATTTTCTTTCTTCCTCGTTTGCCTCCGCTCTTGTCCTGGAACCACCACTCCTACCGATTGAAGTTGAAGAACAAGCTGTATGGGCCTTCCGACGTTGTAATATTTGCTCCAATAAAAAACGAATTAACTAGGAAGAGTTTTTCAACATTTTCTAAAAATTTTGTTCACAAAAATTCAACCCAAAATATCTGAACATTTCAAGGAAGAATAAGCATAAAATTCCTTAAAAATACATGTTTCATCCGGGGGAATTTGGCGACTCTCGAATGTTCATATACGAAGTTGTTTCCATAGAGCGGCAGTGTAAATAACTAAATACCCATGAATTCTCGAGGAGCTACACGGCAAGCATTTTAAACAAAGGCTCAAAATGAACAGACTTAAAATCGAGTCAACATTGCGACCAAGGCGAAAGGATAAAACCAAAGGGGAAATCCAAGGATTTCAGGACTCCAAGGAATCTGCAAATGGTCACTGGCCATTGTCAATGTCACGGTGCACCGCGCCGCCACTATCGGCGACCTAATCTATCTGTCGTCATTGTGTCTGGGCTACTGGTTCGAGTCGGTTCTTGACCCGATTTCGGCACACATCCCCATTGCCAATTTTCACCTCCAAAATTACTTTTACCCAATGGCCCAGTTTTTCGAACGTTGTACAAAATTATCTACACCCCGAAACTATTTTTTGATCGGAAATCTACGAGGACCAGTTCCGAAATGCTGTTAGAGCAATCGGTGTCTCGTATTTTCTGTTAGCTTTTTCGTTTTTGAAAAAGAGTGACTTGAACATCCACTTTGCCTGTGAGAGGCAAAGTGTGCCTATAAAGAATTTGAGTCAACTATGCCCGAAGTAATTTAAAAAGTTCAGACACAGAAAAAAAACAGAGCGGAGCGGAGAGATAGTGATACGTTCATAAAATTTAAACTTAAATTGAATCAGTGAGAACGAAAACGCACCAACTCAGTACCTCGGAAATGCTCAATTTCCATAAAGGTCATTGAAGTTGGCGTATCTATTCCAGCTTGAACCTTTAAAATGTCTTTAAGTTCTTGTCCTTCGGCACCAAAAACTTTTTCTTAGACTAACTTCTTCACCTACCGTGCAGTTTTGTGTGTTTCTTGATTATTTTTATTTTTTCAAGTTGGTGTGTTTCCGTTCTCACTGATTCAATTACAAGACTTCAAGATCTATAAGCCTCAATTTCTGTGGAGAGTATTAGTACTACTTGTAATTAGTAATAATAGTGCAGTAGACTTAAACGTTGAAAGGATGCGCGGCATGAATATCAATAACTGAACTCAGGGACTGCGTACCTCGATTGCATTGTTTCAAAATTTTCACTCCTTTTTTACATTTTCGACGGGATCCGAGCAAACTTTATCACCAGAAATTGTTCGATAGGGTATTTTTTTAAATACGGAGGAGAGTACACGTACATTTTTACAGCAAAACGTTGATTAGCTTTTCAAGAAAAAAATAAAGGATGACGGATTTTCTGCAACGGTGCAAACCGTGGTAAGTGGTTCCCACGTTTAAGCCATTTATGTGTAACGTCATATTTAAGCAAACCGGCAACGTTCAGATGAAACAAAAATTCCACCTCATTTTTTCCATCATCAATCACATTATGTGAATACTCGTGCCGATTATGCTGGTTTGAATTTCTAGGAATCTTGTATCGTGGTTTTGCCCATTCTGATGTTGGTCTCCTCGGACAGGTAGGCGAAGATGAAAGGAGAAAGCATGCGCGAAAAACTCACTCAAGTTAAATCTCGTTCACAGTGGCGTGGTGTCCATATAGCAGCAAGGGAAGCATTACTTCCCCTACCTTTTTCAATTGATAATATAGTATAGGGAATTATTTTCGGAGTGATAATAATTGGAAACATAGCATTGAAAAAAGAGTTCAGCCATTTTTTTTTTTTTTTTTTTTTTTTTTTTTGTTATTTCGCCTGAACTAATTTCCGAGACTAGCGAGAGGAAAAATGAACTCTGGAGCTCACATATTTTTCTCAATGTGTAATAATTTTACTGGTATCATAAGGTAAACTGTGCCTAAAAGCCCTAATAGTGAGAAATGAATCGCCCTTTAGCGTACAGGGATAGGGCCGAGACCCATACCCCGAAAGCACAAATCCGCAAATAAAGGTAAACTTAAAAAGAACGTACATACATGATTTTTGTTAAAACATCGACTAAAATCAGGTATATAGGCCGGCTTCAGGGATTAATCTTTAAAAACTTCGCACTCGAACGTTAAAAACACTATTCTAAAGGGTGGAAAAAAATCAAACCAAAGGACGACTCGTTAATGTGAGTAAAGGAAGCTCTAGTAGTATTGCACAGATTTCTACATTTGTTGCGATTTTGCGGACCGGCAATGTTAAAATCAACCTAAGCAATCAATGCATTTTTCGAAAAATTGACAATATGGCCAATAAACTCAGTAATACTTTACTTCATCGGCAAAATATGCGACACTAAAATTAAGTTGAGGTGAATGAGAACACGCATAGCGCTCTCAGTTAGTATCGCATGTGACAACCATTAAACGAATTTCACCATAACACCGGAATGCAACTATTCGGTCTTTTCGGATGTCCGTGTTGCGTACGCACTGGAGTGAAGGCGTTTTGGCACTCACCGTTTCACCCGCGGCGCGCGGCGAGCTAAGCTGCGAGGACCAAAAATGACAGAGCGACAGGAATTCTTTACACTCGTTCATGCTACGAAGATACTTCTTAGGCACGGATAGTTGCTCTACAAATCATGCTCAGCACATTGCTGTATCAAAACTGAAACACAAAAGGTGCTCACATCCTATACACGCGTGTGTGCAACTATTCGTGCGTGATGGATGTCTTCGTAGTATAAACAAAGAGTCAAATGCGCTCTGTCATTTTGGATTCTCGCAGTAGAACCAGGGGTGACGTGGTGAGTGAAGAGTGCCTGCAGAGTGAAAACGCCTTAACTTTTGTGCTTATGCAACCCGGACATCCGTGGGGCTCGAATAGTTGCATCTAGGCGTTGTACTGAACTCTGCTTGAAGTTCGTTGCTTGGCTTGTTTCGCCGATGAAGTAAACTATCACGAATTTTCATCGTAACATTGTCAATTGTTCAAAAAATGCTTTAATTTTCTAAATGTAGTGAGACGTTGCCAATCTAAAACGTGGGCTGCGGCCCTGCAATTCCTGACCTAAAGTTACTTCAGGACAAATGTTTTGATTGCGTATCCTAACGTATTTGTTTTCGAGTTAAAAAGAGGTCCAGTCAGAAATATAATTAAACCCACGGTCAGTTCAGAATCCGGTGAGGTAGGACCCAAAGCTTGTAGAAAAAATGTTTCTACGTCAAATGTACATTCGCGCATTTGGAATTTTACCCATAAAGTTCTAAGGATTATTTTTCAGCTGTAACATTTTTACTCGGAAATTACATATTTTTTGCCCTTAATACCCATACTTCCTTAATTATGTTGCCAGTAGTAAAGGGAGAGGGGTTGCGAGAAAGAATGTGAGACGATAAAATTTACGCTTGCGGGAATTCCAAAATTCCCTGATTCAGACAACGGGATCCCTTTATTTTTCTTCACGACACACCACTGCCCCAAAACGCTTCGCTCCTAAGGCGTTATGCGTTACTATAATGATTCTCTACACTGAAAAAAAACTCCGGCCGTGGGAGCCGCAATTACTGGCTATGTAGACATACCGTCCGTTCCGGGCTCAAAGGCCAAAAATTCCAGCTGCTGGAGGCGTAGCTTCGATTGCTCCGGGTTCAGAGGCCGAAGCTACGGCTTCAGCAGCCGGAATTTTCGGCCTTTGAGCCCGGAACGGACAGTATGTCTATATAGCCCGTAATTGCGGCTCCCACGGCCGGAGTTTTTTTTCAGTGTATCATAGAGTATGATATGATATGATTTTGAAAAGCATGACGGAACGCCTGCCTGCCACGCTGGGCGGAAGATAACAACCGCGGAGTGTCAAATAAAAACAAACCGCAAATTCGGCACACGGCACTAGCAAGGCTTTTTCAAGGACCTCAAATACTACGGCTCACAACAGAAGAAAGTGGTGCCTCCACCGCGCGCCGCGCCGTCAGGGTTGAAATGAATGGTGACCCCCCTCCACTCAGCCCGCCAGCTCTCCCTCCAAGCCAAAGCCTTTTTTCCAGACTCGCCGGCCAATCCTATCACGCTATCAGTTGATGTCTTACCTTCGTCCGAGAAGGGGCATGAAGTTTTACGCTTTCTTCCCATAAATCTCCGATAACTCTTTATCTCGTGCGAATGTTTCCGATTGTCTCGTTCTAGTGATCGGTGCAGTTTTTTCCCCCGGGCCAAGTTTTTTATACTTATATTCAATGACATGAAATTTTAGTGCAGTTTAATTTTTTCCCACCTTCCTGATGAGAGGGTACTGAGTGTTTGTTACGCCAATGCTTCTTCCTCTTAACGATGTATTGCTGCATGATGCCGTCAGTCCCGCTAAACGTAAGATTTCTCACTTTCAGTAACTTTCTTATCGTTTGATTTGCACGTTGGTGTGTTACATGCACGGTAAAATTACGAATCCACGTACTTCGATTACGATGCACCAACATGAATAAAAATGAAAATCTCTCGCCAAAAAACTCTACATTATAGTATGAAATATTTAGAGAATATCTTTGAAAGGATGGCGAAAAATTACACAAAATTTTGTGTAAGAACGTGATCTAAAAAAAAAACGTGATTCTCGTGTCTTTGAAATTAAAAAGTCTGCAATGTTGTAAGCTGAGATACGTGCTCTCGTGATTTTACGATTGATACATTTCCTCTTGATCTTTCATAATTAGCTGTATCTCATGTATCTCATCTCTTTCTGAAAGAAACTTTTAAGGACTTAACTTTGTTCTCACTACCTTGCTACATGCTACATAGCTACATGTTTAACCACGCTGCAGGACAATGTTTAAGCGTCCCGAACTAATAAAAGTAAATTACAGGTAATTGGTTCAAATATATACATGTTATTATCATATTTATTTTTAAAATAAAATCAGAAAAATGAAAAATCGTATGCGTTTTCTGAGACTTTTATTGATAGTAATGTCATTGTACTACTCTTTAAAGAAAAGAAAAAAAGAAAAGGCATCTCTAGATTGTCTTGTGTTTTTTTTCTATTATTTGCCGAAATGTGTGGGTTTTTTTATGGTATGTGATGATGTGTAAAATTTAAAAGGTTCAAGTGCCCACAGAGGCTCGAAGGGCTTCGGGGGGTTGGAATGCGAAGAAGTCGGGGGGCGTGCTCCCTGGTATATTTAAATTCTAAACAAACGTGGATTAGGTATACTTTGTAATTAATTGTCATCAAAACTGCGGTAATAATATAGAGTTCCTTCGTTAAAAACTCGTAGAACCTGATCTTTTAAGTAATACTTACAGACTTGTTTAAAAAACTTAATTCGTTCACTCTGTCCCCCACCAGTGACTTTATACTAATAATAATAGTATATAAAACTACTTACCTCTGTCTGTGACGTTTCAGATTTTCTATCAAATTTTCTTTCATTATGGTGATTCGATGGTTGCCATTTTTTGTGTCAGAGTGACGTGCGATATATAGCATCAATTCGTTTCATAATTTCAACTACTCTTCATTTTTCTCGAATTTGGAAATCGTACTTCTGTTGTCATGAGACTAAAGAATTTATGCACCAAACTTGACATAAAAAATTCAACGTATTTGAGGCAGGGTTTTTTTAGAGGAAAAATATAGCATTCGATACTGATATCGAAACTGCACTTGAATGCGATATTTTTCCTCTGAAAAACCCCTGCCTTTATGACTTTGAGTTTCTTTGTCGTATATTTGGTACATGAATTCTTTAGTCTCATGACAACAGAGGTGCGATCTCAAAATTCGAAAAAAAAAAAAATGACAAGTAGCTGAAATTATGGAACGAATTGATGCGATATATCGCACGTCAATCTGACACGAAAAATGGCAACCGTCGAATCACCTTCAGTAACTACTGAAAATCAGCTTTGCGCAAAATTAAACGCGATTTTTCTTCGCCCTTTTGAGAAAATTATTTGATTTCGTTCCAAAAAGTATCGGTACACTTGCTCAAAAATCAAAGTGGCAAAATGTTGAAAAATGCACCGCAAACGAACTATCTTTTCTTTTAGTTTCATTGTTAATGCATAATTATTACACTGTGCTTTTTCGTCCTATACGAGCCTCCTATAGTGTTTTAAAGAGCTGCTCATGAAATACGTAACACTGTAGGGACGAACACCATTTTCTTTTTACTTAAGTACAAAGAATAGAAACCTGATTCTTGAAATCGTTACGAAGGGGTGGGGGTTAAAAATTCCTCTTCCAGAGTTACGTACTTTATGAACGGTCCCTTATTTCGCAGTCTGAGGTTATTTAATTGTCTTCGAAGTGATTTACTTTTATACTTTTCTGATATATCGATGACTAAAGTCGAGAAATGTCTTTCTCCGAATTTCGTCGTTGAAAATATTCGCTCTTGTTTCATCTAAGAATAGAAGCCCTCAGTTTTTCTGCAAAATACCTATGAATTTTCCTCATGCACTCTTTTACATTCAAAGAAAATGTCAGAATCTTTAAACGTTCCAATGGAGACATGCATTCTTTGGCTGCAGCCATTTATTCTCGTACGTTTAGAAATTCGGTGTCGTATACTCGCAGCTCTCACAAATCTTCCGGTATATATATCTAGCTCAAGTTAAAAATCTAGTCTCAACAAAGTCACCACACAAATGTGTAGCACTGAAATTTTAGGTTGCCACTTTCTCGGCGTGATATATTTTTTTTTCTTCTTTTTATTTTTTAATGATCAGTTTTAAAATGAATATTCCTGGAAAAAATGTCCAACTTATTTTGTGCTTAAAGCGAAAGTAACGTCGATTTTTTATGTATAAACTATTGAAAATTCTTTGTTATTCCAAATGAATCGCACAAAAATCCATGCCTGATTGGAATTTCGAGTATGAAAGGCATGCATCACCTCTAGCAAGGAGGAAATTCTCATCCTCCCGAAAAGTTCAAAAACAGAGAATTTTCAACCTTTAGTGAGCTCACAGATTTTCAAATGACTTTTCTAAATTCCACTGTACCATAATTCACACACTGGATTTTAAATATCTCAGGAGCCTCCCAGATAGCTCTTCACGGAATTTATTCAACTCCTCTTTTCGTATAACACAAAACGTCGAATGCGCAAGACTTGTAGGTATACTCTAACCCTTTTATTTTGAATTGGAACAGTTAATTTGAACGTTTCTCTAGAATAATGGAGAATTGCGTGTCAACCTTTTCCAGTAGACCAATTGAATTACCGACCCCCCTTCCAAGAAAAAGCCACTTTTTGTATTTATTTCATATGTAGGATATAACAACGGTCAAAAATTTGAATTTGTGTTTTCCAAAGTTATATTCTTGTTAGGTACTGGATGCATTGAAACGCCCTGTATCAGCTGCCAGTAATGTAAGGAGCATTAGACCAAATGGGTGCACGTGTCATTTTTTCCTGCATTCCAATGAGACCTGTTGTTTTGCTGTATCCGTTATTTTTCGCGCCTAGTGAGGATGTTATCTACCTCAGACAGGCACTGCAGCACTATCAGGAAAAAAACAGCTTCCTTTTTGGTTATCAAAGATTCTACTTGAGGACCGCTGTGTCCTGTCATCAGGTTGACGAGTAACGTGATGGATCTTGCATAAAAACTAGTGCACTTTTCCTAGTTGCTGCGAATTGCGGACTTTAGCGCGCCTTTGGGCCAACGCTGCCAGCTGGCCCCCGCCCGGCCAAAATGCACTTTGGAAAAGCCAAAACTTGGGAATTGGAATGTTTGTAATCTACTGTTGAGGATATTCTGAAATGAACGTGGGAAAAAGAAATTTCATAAGTGTCGCATCATGTTTGCCAAATTGACGTGAAAAACTATATTTTCAAAGACTTTATTATTCGTGTCTCCGACACCTCTGAAACTTTGCGCTTTACGGGCGAAATTTCAATCTGGCCAAAGTATGTACGCGGACTTTTGAGAGATTCTGATTTTTACGATTTAAGTCAAAGTAAAAAAAATAGCGACTTATTTCAGTTCTAAATATTTTAGGGATACCGTAAACCTTTTGGAGACCATGCATACCTCCCGCTAAGTATCCGAACAGGCCATGCACTCAAGACCACACTTTTATTAAAAGGTCGGAGGCCTTGCAATTAAAATACATCTATGACATAAAACAACGGTACATCTATCGGTTCATTCGGGTCATATTAATTTTCAAGTTGGGGAAGAGGTGTGCTCTTCAAACAGAATTGAAGGGCTTGGAGGACAAGGCGCTTAAGTGCAGTTTCTGATATCTCGAAAATCACGTGTTTCTTTCAAAATTAAATGGATCCTTATGGTAGAAAGAAAGTTCTAATTAACTTTTTGATGCTTAAATATTGGAATTTGGGAGCAAATTTCTCTATGCATCCAGACTAATTTTACTTGAAATCATTAATACCTCAATTTTTTTCAAAAACTGCACTTATGCCCCTTGTCTTCTAAGCCCCTCAATTCCTCTTCTTTTTAGTGAAATCAGCTCATCTGTATTGTTGTTGCTAAGAATTCAGATGAATAATCAATTTTTTTATCCCATTTGTGTATACGAACTCCCGTAAAACCCCCCGTAGTATCTACAGAGCGCTTGTAGAAAAATTTGATTCTCACGAAAATTCAGCAAATAAGCAAAGTCATCTGGGAGCGCCGCCAAAGGAGGTGAGGGAGGAGAGGGGAAGAGTAATTTTAATTGAAAGTATCTTTGAATATATGTATTTGACGTGACATTTTTACAGAAATCAAACAGTTTTTGTGCTCTTTATAAAATGGGTCCAAATAATTTTTAATTATTCACGCACGTGATGAATGCAGTTTACTAAGTTCTTTGGCAACGCTTTTGAAGTTGTTTGTCACAAGTCTCACTTGTATCGTATCTTCACTATCTAACCATGGTTGTTTTGATTTTTTCATTTTTCCGGCAAATGAATTCAGAAGTCTACACGTGGCAGTCTTGCCCGTGAAAACAACATACCTGAGATGTTAACATTTTCACTGACACCCATGTCCTGTAGCCTGATTGTCGAAACGTTGTATTTGTCTATTGGACACGACAAAACAAAGGTGTAATGGAGCTATGCGATTGGTCGGTCGCTTGGGCCGCGGTCGCGGGTCCCGCTTTCTCATTGGACCTATAAATTCTGGCTCATCTGAAAAAACACTTATGTGCATAAAGAAACTAATGGCACATACGTTGTTATTAAACCGGGCTGGAATTTATAGTTCCAAATTGCAAAATTTAGCCCAACTGATTGTCTGTCACTAAGGGGTACCTCTAGCCAGTCGATATATCGGTCCGAACAAGGCACGAAAGGGCGGAATCCGCAATTGCAATCCCTTCAACTGACCAATCGCATATTTCCACTACACCTTAGTCTTGTCATGTCCAAAAGACAAATAATAAAAATTCAAGAATCAGGCTGCGAGCCTATGGGTACTTTATTTTCAGATACAGTTATAAATGCGACATGACTTAATGCATAAAAAATTTTCGGTCATGTTTATTTTTTTATTCAAAAGCAACTAACCAAAATAAGTTACTGAATTTCTTTAAATTGAGGCACTGGATGCGAAAAGAGCACTTCTCGATTGCAGTGTTTCAGAATCTCTTTTGCTAATTAATCCATTGGAGAGGAATATAATGGGTGATTTTGCCAGAATTCTTTCCATAGGAAATTTTAGAATCCTAAGGAATATTCAGTGAAATTTTTAGTGAAATAGATGCATTCACTTTCCTTACAATGAATGAAATATTAGAGGAGACTCTTAAACACTGCAACCGAGAAGTGCCCTTTTCGCATCCAGTGCCTCAATTTTGAGTGAGTAAAAAAACTCACAAAAATTTCAAGAATGCCTGATTCTTGGTTCCCTTTACAAAAATAGAATACGAGCGCAGGTACGCATTTTCGACTTTGATATTATGGATTTGGCTGAGCGGCCAAAAACCGGGGTAATTTTTCTCTGCTCTATTATATTCAGCCTCTCTCCCTCAAAAAAAAAGGGAATGAACAAATATGCTGGCACGTGTTCGATTGGATTGCAACGACTGTCAGTGTATGATAACTGGTGACGTGAACTGTATGACGCGACGGATAATCGCCTTCATTTTTCGCCGATACAGTATCACGACACTCGCGGTTGCATAGTTGTATCAAGCCAAAGTTACGGGGAATATACTTTTAATTTTTGAGTTGTAGAATCGTATATTTATAATATCTCGACTGAAAACCGTTGAAAGTTTTTATCGTATTAGAATGCATTTTCTGTACATGCACAGTCATTGTCGGGGCTGTAAACAAATACACTCCAGTTCTACACGGTGCGTGGCTCATTGGCTCAAAGCCCCAGCATGGAGAGATCGTTGAACTAGGAGATAGCTGCCATTAATGTTACACCTTTCTGAAAATAGTGAACAGTAAAACGTATGAAAAAACGTTTCTATAGAATGAGAGCATTTCTCTGAATGAAATTGATACGATTGTACTTACGATAACTTTCCTAAACTTTTCATTTTTTAAATCAAATTTTCATTGAGACAAGAAAAGCATACTGAAACAGAACTGCAAGCCCTTAAGAGCACCGAACAAACTTCTTAACTAGCAACGTGTTGCCCTTCGATAGTGTAGTGGTCGCGCAATCATATAGTCTTTCACGGTTGATTATATTTAGCCTCGCATTCACTTTCAACCTTACAAAGTTAGCTCCGCACTTTTACTTTTGGTACACAATCATTATCATACACTCCTTTCAAGTGAGCGAAGATAACTCAATTAATTTTCGAAATAATCAGCGCTTATCTTGTTCATTCTCAGAAATGCATCTTTTAAAGTCCATTTTGTAGTTTCGAAAACATGATAAAATCGCGTTGCTGAGTTTTTTGTTCTTTTTCATTAGATATCTGTCGCTTTTTGGTTGCCTCTATTTACTCCTTTCACCTCCTCCCCCTGTAATGATTCTCGTGATTGACCATTGCGTGTCACTTTCTATTTTGTTAGCTCTATTTTACGTTGCACGATTCAAATGCACATCGCATCGCAACGATCTTTCGTGAAGCAGTGCGTCTTGAAAGCCTCGTTTGAATTCCGTAATGTTTTTCTTATCAAACGCTTGCATTTGCCTCGATGAATAGCGGTGGCGTGGCGTGCTTTGCGATATATCGATTGATCTGCCATTGAAACCTACGGAAAAGGGTCGATAAACAGGATGTTTGTAATGAACACATCAATAATAGATTCTTTTCCATAGCTTCTAATAGAGAAGTATCGATAATTGATCATTCACCCCTCGCCACTAATGAATATAAGGTCTAAGGACAGAGTTAGTGAAAGCGTGGGAACATCTGCAAATTCATAATAGGGTTCGCGCGGTTTTCCTTTGATTTTTATGCATTGGAAAAATTTCTCTATTATTTGGACATATTTCTGTCAAACGGAGCTAAGCGCCATAGGGAGAGGAGGGTAGGGGGAG